TATTAAAATTGAATTTGATAAATTTAAGGGCTAAAATACTATTTTCAAAGTATTGGGGCTAAATGTGAAAAGTAGGAACTCTAGGGACTTAATTGAAAACTATTGAAACTGAAAATAAAAGTTTAAGGGCTGAAATTAAACTTTTAGTAATTGGGGACTAAATTGGAAATTTAGTAAAATTGAAAATAAAAGTTTAAGTTCTGAAATTACACTTTTAGGAATTAGGGACTGAATTGGAAATATTGAAACTGAAAATAAAAGTTTAATGAATGAAATAAACTTTTTGAAAATAATGGGCTCACTGCTGAAAGCTGAAACTCCAGGGGCTGTTTCATTAAAAATGAAACTCTAGAGACTGAAATGAATACTTTTAGAACCTGGGGCTAGGGCTAAAATTTCTAAAATTAAAATAAATAAAATAAATATTTCTCACCCTCTCTCTATCTCTCTCATTTCGACAGCGAGGAAGGGAGTAGGTTCAGCATTGGCGCCACCGTCGCGTGGTGGCGCCAGTGTGTGGGTGGAAGCAGCAGGGAATTTGTTCGGTGTATGGTGCGAAGTCAACAGAGGCTTTGGAGGTTCGATTCGAGTTTCTTGGTGGAACCCAGTTGAAAAATGGGTTGGGGATTAAGGTATGTTCATGGGTTTTTGGTTTATCTTTGTTTTTGTGGTTAATCGATGTGGATTTTGGGTTGGCAAATGTTAGCTGTTCGTGTGGGTGGTGCGTGGTCATTCGCGAAGGCTTGAAGGTGGTGGTACGTGGAGATGGTGAAGTTGACGTGGTGGCCAGTAGTGCCTCTGGGTGTCGATTTTTAGGCTAGAATGGTGGTTGTTTGGGTGTTGCGGGCTGCAGCTTGGGTGGTGATGTGACTGTACAGTGATGGCTTGGTGATGGAACGGTGTTGGTGGTTCTGCAGTTTGGTAGGTTGGTCATTGATGGTGGATTGAGATTTGGCTGTTGATGCTACAAATTGATTTTCTAGCATCACACATTGTAATGCCCCGAATATTTTCAT